AATTTGTTAACTAAACGTTTTTAATTACAAGAGTAACTCATACCTTCATGTCTTTTCTCACGTTACATTCATTTTTTATGATATTTACTCTTTTGGGTTTCGTTTGTGGGCAGTAGCCACTTTTTCAGTTACTAATCCTGTTAGATTTATTTCTCGTTACAGAGTGTTCTAACATTTTATTTTTGGCGTTGCACTCGAACCGCTAGCTAGACCAGTCCATTCCATTGTCGTATGGTGACTCCCAACACTCGTGGAATTACAAACCAAACGAACAAAAATATGGACCAGATAAAAAAATAATAAAATAAATAAAAAATATAATGAAATGCAAAAACAAAAACTTTCACTGTATAGTTAAACGGACCGTTAAATATTTTTGCATATAAATACGTCACTTCTATGCTGTACATTTTAATCCGCTCATTCTATTTTCACAGATTTTACTATTTTCACTCGAGTTATGCCATGATGAAACTTATTTATTTTGTGACCCATGCTTGTAATTACTTTGCATCACTTTAATTATACAGCTCGCAACATTTTTTTTAACAAATGGTGATTGTACTTATTCATAACTATTGGTTATACACACACTTCTCTGTACCTTGCATAAGTTTTCACAGCGCTAACAATTTCCCTTGTTTTATTTCAATCTGGCGTACCACTCCCATGTTACACTAGTTCCTTCGCATTTATTCCTCTTAAGTTCTTGTTAACACCTTATGCTGATTTTTAAGTCTTAACCTCTTCTTCTATTCTTTTCTGTTGCTTTTACTTTATTCCTCCTAATACGCTGGTATATTGATTGCCTTTGGTATTACTACTAGTTTTGGTTGATGAGGAAGGATGGAGCACTAGTCAAAGAGGAAACTTAGACATAATGAGCCACCTTCCCGTTATAACAACGTGGGTAACGGAGGTAAACCATCACACCTCCACATAACCCAGCTCGTAATAGTATGTCGTAAAAAAAAACTCAATAAATAAATAACATAAAAATAAAAAATAAAAAAAGATAAGTAAAAATAAATGATGTTTAAAAAAACAACAACAAACAGATGACTAAGAAGCTTGAAATCGCACCAAGGCACTAGCGTCATTCCTTCTTATATTCCACCTTACTCCATTGACCATGTACATAGCGCTCATAAATTGCCTTAATTTTTTTTCCTTCATTCTTTCCTTTCTCAATATATATTTTTTTTAAAAAAAAAGAGAAACAACTATTTTATTACTATCTTCACATTTTCTTGTCCATTCACTGTTATTGTACGCCACCTTGTTACTTTTATATATCGAAGCTTGCTGTTATCACACCAACCTTCTAAGGGGGGGATACCCTGTAGTGTACATTGTACCTTTGAACTTTTGTTTGAATGAACGCAACCTGACATGTTTAACCCCACTTCCGCTTTTTGTACTCCTGATCCGCCTGTACGGTTACTGTCTCGCTCTCTCGCTGTACTTTCACCTAGTACACTCCATGAGCTGACAACCGTCTCACCTCCAGATAAGTGTGTACTTTTTATTTCTTATCAAATTCCATATCTCTTCGTGTACATACAATTCCGGTCCAGTTTCACTTGCCATTTCGAGTCTTCTAACTTTGATTCCGTTCTTTAGTACTTGCACGTAGGCAGAGTACTAATTAAGGTCATAAACGGTGAAGGAGTTTGTAAGAGCGGTTATTGTTAGGACGAGGTAAATCCTAAGTCTAACTCTTACAGAATCCTGGCGGTACGTTCGAAACTGGTGACATTTTTTTGCACGTGTTTGCTCTGATATTCATTTATTGCTTATAGTCATATAATCCCTAAAATTATTGTCCAGATCTCTAAAAAACGTGTTCGTAGAAACACAATTGTTTTAGATAGTTGCTCAACCTCGGTTATAACTGCATTACCACCCCGTAATACAGCGTTAACTACTAGTTCACAAAATGGCTTGAGTGCAATTCTCATTCCTGTGATACAGGTGAAAGATGTTCTGTTAGAGAACTCTGAGTTCTGTAAATTAAACCTCCTTGTGAAAGACATCCAGAGGCAAGTTAGTGAACTTCAGGAAAAATTAGGTCAGTTTGATAGCATATCACTGCCAATCTCAAATATCACGGAGAGCCGTTCTGATATTGGCCAGGTTAAGTCTTTACTGGATGTAACTCAAAACAAGCTTTCGGATTTAGACCCAATAGCCTGTCTGTTAAGAAAACATCCTAAAATGTCTCCAGACACCCTAAATAAGGCTGAAAATCTGATTGACTGCTTGGCTGCGGAGGTGATGAAGCGTATAACCTCTTCTCACCAGGCTATAGTTTACAACGTCCCAGATCCTCTGCCTCTGAAGACTGTAAAACACAAAATCCTGATTTGTTGCGACATGACTAGTGCAAAAGACTAATTGTCTCATCATTTTTAAATTCAGTAATTCCCTTGATTCTAGTAAGTTTACTAAATGTCAGGATCACCTAAGACTGAACAGCAGTTATAAGTCTATAACCATAGCTCAGGAACAAACACCGTGTCAGCGCAGAATAATGCGTAGTAATAACCTGGTCACCCTCCCCTTTTACGAGAAACTCCTCTCGAAACACAAGTATATCTGGTGGTTTTCAGTATGCTCCACCTTATAGAAAGTCAGGCCCCAAAACCCCCAAAGTCTTGCAACCAAAGCACCTTCCCTCTCAATTTCCTTTAAGTTATAAAACCAACACGAAGATGTGTACTGGTATGACGAATAGCACGTGTATGGGTAGACCATTTGATGCTATGCTTTTTAACCATCAACCCAGGCCCAACCTCTACTATCCTTATATCCAGGAACACATGGTAAATTTTCCAAGTGTCCCGAATCACTGGTACGACCCATGGCACCTAGGGCCACCTCACTGCACTCTAACCCCGATGTACAGACACCCAGTCCGACCCCCGTATCACTCATAAACTCTTGCGTTGTTGACGCACAAACAGAGTTAGGTTATGGTGATATCTTAAGCCAGTTTGTAGTACCCCGTGACTTATTCACGATATTGCTAATTAATGCACGTTCCTTAATCAATAAGATATTTGAACTAAGGACATTATTATTTATCGCCAAGCCTACTGTAGCTCTGATTACTGAATCGTGGTGCTCATACACTGTACTTGATGTGCATATAGGCATAGATGATTACACTACACCGTGCAAATAGAAACTGCAAGCGTGGTGGAGGATGTCTCATATATATACATAACTCATTCGTAGCCAGTAAGGTGGAAGATGAAATACTTAACGAGGTACCTGATTCACTCTGGGTTGTCTTACAAGGAGATAAGTACAAGCTTCTCATAGGCTGTGTTTATCGAGCACCAAGCTCAACCAAAGAAACTGATGCGTTATTAGCTAAATCATTCGCACACGCCTCATCGTTTAGTACTAATTACAAAATAATTGCAGGGGACTTCAATCTTCCAGAAGTCAATTGGTTGAGTAGTTCCGACCCGCAACGCTTCGACGAATTACTTGCCACTATCGATTGTTATGGATGGCAGCGACACGTCCAGACACCTACTCGTGGCGACAACATGTTGGACCTTGTGTTTTGTCATGACACAATCCCAGTCTCCACCTATGTTGGTAACAGATTTTCCAGTAGTGACCATAGAATGGTTCTCTGCTCTCTGCCTTTCTCACCACTAAATACAGGAAACAAACAGGATTCAGGGAGCTTGATATGTCGTAGTTACAAACATACAGACTGGGGATTAGTCCAAGAACTCATTCGACTCTGTCACTGCGATGAATATTTTTCCACTGACTCCCTGGAGGCTGTAGTGTCCCTATTTTACAGGAATGTTATCCTTTGTCTAGATACTGTTGCTCCTAAGAAGGTGGTGAAATTAAGTAGACACCAAGCTGAATACATTCCGAGGGCATGCCGCAATAAGCTAAGGAAGTTGAAGAAACAGTACTATTCCACTAAGGATGTATCACTACTGCACTCAATCCACGAGTCTCTTGAATCTACCAAGCTCCAACGCTCTCAAAAGGACCTCGACGAAGAATTAAGGGCACTTGAAAGCACCTCCAAAGTTTATAACTTAACAACACTTCTTAAAAAACGAATGCAGTCGACGAGGAACATCCCCTATTTACTTCATGACAAAGTTATCTACAATGAGCCTGCCACTATCTGTGTAATGTTCAGTGAGTGGTTTGAAAACTTCAGTTTAGAAACGCGCATTCCCGGTGAAACCGACCCCCTTACTAGCTCTTTCCTCAGAAGCATAGTGTTCACCAACCAATTAATAGAAAAGGCAGTTAAAAGCCTGAAACCTTCCACTAGCACGGGACCAGATGGCCTTGCTTCTGTAATTTTCAAAAACAGTGGGTGTGATATACCCTTACTACTTCTTAAATTCTTCTCAATATCTATAGACACTGGCACTTACCCTAATGAGTGGAAAACTAGCTTCATAATTCCACACTATAAATCCGGTGATAAGGCAAACGTCCGCAATTACAGACCTATAAATATAACCCCAGTTGTCTCGCGAATCATGGAGAAAGTTGTCAAAGATCAATTGTCAGACTATCTACTTCGGGAAGATCTTGTTACAAGGTCTCAACACGGATTTCTCAAAAATAGGTCTTGCGTTACTTGCCACTTCGACTTTTTCAACTGCATCACTAGTAGTCGCGAAGCATGTAAGCTAGTTGTTGTTCTCTACCTCGATATATCTAGGGCATTTGACATGGTATCTCACAGTATTCTCTTTGAGAAGCTGTATTCATGTGGGATTCGCAATCCATTACTGAGCTGGTTAAAATCGTTTCTAAGCAATAGGGTACAAATAACCAAGGTTGGATCTGTAATGTCTCATCCTAGGCAGATCACAAGTGGGGTTGTGCAAGGTAGTGTCCTAGGTCCACTTTTATTTACAGTCTACATTAACAGCATTTGCAACTGCTTCACCTCAGGTAAATCATTCCTATATGCTGACGACCTCAAAGTCGTTTACTCCTGCTACGCTCATGAGCTAAGCGATATGGTAAATAAAATACATCTTGAACTAAGTAGTCTCGCAACATGGTGTACTGAATCCTGTTTAAAGTTCAACATTGATAAATGCGGCTGGATTTGTATCGGAAACAGTAACCTTGACCTGAATCTTGAAATAAATGGGCGTAAACTAGCCAAGCTCAACTCAGTCGTAGATCTCGGTATCAGATACTCTAGTAACTTAACGTTCTCTGAACAAACTGATTATGCTAGACGTAAAACACGAAGGCTCCTAGGATGCATAACTCGCAATTTCTTTTGTTGTGAAACTAGGGTTTTATTATATAAAGTATGTGTCCGACCTATTTTAGAATACTGCCCGTTTATTCTTAGCGGACTCAGGCAAAATTAGAAGGAGTGCAACGGCAATTCACCTTAAGAACTCTTGGTTTAGAAAGTGGTCTCGAATCCTATGAACGTTGCGACAGACTAAGTTTGGAACCACTCTGGAAAAGACGTCTTAAGCTGAACCTAATTTTTTACTACAAGCTAACTAATCTGCTCGTGCACTCCTCCGAGTCAATAATTCAACCTACCGCTGTCATCAGTTACAATCTTAGAAATCATCACAACCTAGCTGCTATAGAGCATTGTCAGACTTACATGCGGTACGACTTCTTAAATAAGTTTTCAGTCATTTGGAATAGACTACCAGCTGATGTGCGTGATGCAAACACACTCGCAATGTTCATCTCCTCAGTCACCAGACTGCTCAAAGATGACAATGCACTTCTGCGTCTGAATCCTACACCCTCTTTTTCACCCTACATAGATATTTTAAGTTCATTAAACGTGTAGTTACAACAAACTACAATTATAAATTTTTATATTATTGGAAGTAAATGATAGACATTTTTTATACAGGACAATAATATTAGTTCACACAATATAAAAGTTAGCATCACGGGAATAGTTAGTTAGTGCACCAAAATAACTATAATTACTAAAGAGAATATAAATGTATATATACATATTAATCACTCCTTGAGGACTCCACTTGCTTTCTTTTGCGTTGTTGTTGTTTGTCTTCTTTTGTCTCTCACCATTTCAGCTTCCATTTGACTTTTTGAATGAGAATGAAGAATGTAGATATTTGCCCATTTACAATGACAAATGATCTGCAAACATTATTGGTCCGATATCTTACAATTCCCTCTTGAATTACGCATTGCATTTCCCCACGACGTAACTTGGATTACAGTTGTGAAATATACCTTCATACCAATAAAAAGGTATTGATTTATAATACTTCATGATTGTATCTTACAACATAACTGATCGTGTCTACAAAAATAGCTTGCATTTCTTGAAAACACCCGTTTATAAGAATATATAAACTGTCATTATTATTAGTCCACATTGAGTACAATTCAATTGTGATGTTACGATGAAAATGCTGACAAAAGTATACAAGTGTATCACTTATTTTAAATTATCACCAAATTTGGATATAAATCAAGAATAAGACTCGATGCCGTACACATCAAAGGAATTACTTCAAGCTTTATTTTTTCCCAAGTATTTGTATGCCATCCAAAACATACTTGGGTTTTTTGTTAATGCGAAGACAATATTTCTATATTTCTTGATGTGCTCCATTGAATGACTAGTTATCATATTGTTCCCATAGACAAAATGACTGCAACCACATTATTTAACCATGAACCAAATTTATGTAATGTAAATAATACTTATCCATGCCAGTACAATTGGTGTGTGCTACACAGGTAGGAAAAAATGCATTTTATTAAATTACTATTATTAAATATGTTTACTAATCGTATATGTAAATTATCATGTTGATGATGCCTGTAAACTGGCGTCCCTCATGTAAAAAATGAGAATATATTATGATTATTATTATTATGTCGGAGTGGATTTGTTCGGACCTTTTGTAGTGAAGAGAGGCAGAGCTCTATGCAAAAGATATGGCTGTTTATTCACCTGTTTGAAAACGAGAGCTGTGCATTTTGACATGGTTCATACGTTAACTACTGATTCATTCGTTCTGGCGTTACGTAGATTTATAAATCGCCGAGGTACACCTAAGATGATGTTCAGTGACAGGGGACTAATTTTGTTGGCTGTCACGCCGAGCTTGAAGACTATTTCGAAGGTCCTCAGACGAGAGTTCATGAAGAGTTATTGAAAAGAAACATTGAGTGGCACTTCAACCCACCACATGCCAGCCACATAGATGGGCTATGGGAAAGACTTATAGGAATTACTAAGCCTATTTTAAGCTCCATAATTAAAAAGCAAAGTTCGAATGACGAAACGTTGGAGACATTTTTATGTGAAGCTGAACGAATACCAAATGACCGGCCTCTATTACCTGTGATGGACGACGACAAGGATTTCGATGTGTTGACTCCAAATGAATTATTGTTATTGCGAGGTAACCGTGGCATAGGGTACTTGAGTGCGGAACGAATACCTACGATTAAAAAAGATGGAAACAAGCCAGGTCCATGAAAGATATATTTTGGAAAAGATGGTTAAAAGAGCATGTCCTAAGACTGCAAACAAGAGACAAGTGGAAAAAGTTGTGCAGAAACTTAAAGGTCGGTGATATAGTCTTAGTAGCAGATAAATGTGCCACAGGTAGATGGCCTTTGGGAGTGGTTGAAAGGGTACTCTGTAGTGGTGATGGATTGGTGAGGACGGTTGAGGTGAGAACACGTTGTGACATGTTGGTGAGAAATATTAGGAAACTGTGTCTGCTGGAAGGTGCTGAGAGTCGAGAGTCAGAGGATGGACCACTTGACGAGTTTCCTACTTGGAATCGTCAACCTGAGAGGGGTTGCAGGCGTACTGGTGTAAGTCCTGCGATTCTTCAGAGGAATTACATCAAGACATGGTCTGCGAGGTTATGTGTACTGCTTGTATATATGCATGGTGTGTCATATCAATTGGTGTTTTTGGATTCACTGTGTTTACTTGTTGTTTTCATATTTTGTTGTATTGTATGATTTTATTAAGATTTCCGTTGTGCTTACTTCTGAAGTTGTTTCGAGTCTTCTACATCTGTGAATGAATTGATTGATGTTAAAGACAGCAGATTGATCGTATACGCCTGGGAGTCTAGTACTGAGAATGGCATGCACACACAGACAAGGATTAGCTGTGGAATCAATAATCCAGAATGAATGTTTCGATTTAGGCTGTGGTTGCACACGCCGGGGAGCGAGAGTGTAGACGACTGAAGCTTGCATACGTCACCGTTACTAAGACTGAGGCAGAGTGAGTGACAAGTGATAGCAGTGGTAATTGGTACTGAATAGATAGGAGGATTTGCGAAGAGTATCATGAGGTGCTGCTGTGGTCATGTTGCTTTCTGCAAGAGTCGTTCTAGCAAGTGGCGATTATGTTGCAAGATGTCAAGAGGATGCCTTTAACTGAAAGGCGTAGGTCGCTGTTGACGAGTGAGATTGTGGTGTGGGTGTGCCTGTGGTGTGTTGGCTTTGTTGTTTTGTTTTCCATTTCAGCTTTGTCCTTGTTGCCCAGATTCTCGCACTGGCATCCAAGTCAACGTGTATTGGTCGTGATGGTAAAAAAGGATGGATCCCTATTTTGCCAGGGAGTGTCAATGTAGTTGAAGAATGAGTGATCAATTCATGGTTGTTCACTCATAACAAACTCCAGAATTCACGTGAACTAACGCATGCTTAGATCTCTGTAGATGCGTCTGTGTAAGGTACCGCATTTCACCAGCCCTTTGTATACATAACTCAACGGGAAACTTCCATATTTCGCGGATACTCACTTCATGAATTCCACTTGTACCTGCAGAAATAAAATAAAATGACTCGTGAAATTTCACGAGACAAAGTGTGAAACTTATGTTGGTTAAAAGGGGGAATTATTGTAAGATAGTTCTTTTTTCAGTTAGACAAGAACCAGATGTAAAAATACGATTATCATTTGTTGACATTTCGGTGATTATTATCCACTTTCCAACATTTGTTATACCTAGACTATGCGTCAGTTTGACTGACTGACTTTCAATATAGAGGCTTGCACACAAGTGCACTTGTTCAAGTTACCACATTTCATGTAGGGCCCGAAGGTATAGAAAAAAATTAAATGGAACTCTAATGAGCACAAATGTGAGGCAGGATCAGTAGTGACAAGGAAAAAACATAGGGGTTGATTGGATATGTGGGATTACAAAAAGTGAAGGCAGCTGTCAATGTACGTGAACATTGAACGTTTGTTTATTGGAAATGGAAACCATTGGTGGGCTGCCGTATACACCAGTTGAAGAACTTAGCGGTGCATCAGAAGCTGTTGCTGTTCGACCTTTAGAAGGTTGTCTAACCGCAAGATTACCATCGCTGGGCTACACTCGGATCATTTACACTGACGGTCTCACTAGTATCCATACCTTCTGCAACCGCATCTCCCTTTAATTCTACTTCACTTTCTGGCGCATTTACTTGTAAAAACATCTCTTCTATGTCAGCTGCAATGGCAACCGGAGACATTCTGAATCTCAGCAGCAATCCTACTAGTGATCCCTCGCAATCCGGACCACACTGGTTCATTCTGATTAACCAGTCTTTCCACGTAACCTTTAACTATGTGATTGTCGATGGCCTCTTTATACTTGGTTCACAGATCTGAATTTACTAGGAACTTCTTTCTTAGACTCGGAAGTCTCTTCATTGCCACCTCTCTGTTACAGACCGTCTGTTTATCCTCGGATCTCCAAGGTAATCCCACGATAAATCGACCGTTCTCAAACGTACAGGTTTCATTAACCAATTTTGCCGCTTTCCTATCTTCGACAGACCGCCCTCTTTCCACAGAACTATTATCGTGGAACTCTTTGTCATACATATCCCGAACCATACACGTTCTATACTCACTTCGTTGACAGTAATCAGGGGCGACACTTGTGCCTTCAACACAGGTCCCCGTATAGTCCAACGAAGAGGAGCTGCAGTGGCTTCTTAGAAATGGAGAGTGAACGATCAAGAAGTATCGATTCAGAAAAGCAATTCGTATATAGGCTTATATTCTACTCGTTAATAACCTTTGGTCTAAGCTTCATCATTGTTTATTACGAACAGTGACAGGACGAATCACAGTATACCTGATATTCGCTCTGTGTCTGCTGTGCATATTCCTGTTGAAATATTTTCTCCGAACGATATTCTTGAGACGAGTAAACAGGACAAATGAAAAACTGAAAAAGCTGCGTGCAACAAAACAAAAATTGTTAGAGGATGTGAGGGAGAAAGAGACATACAACAAAGCGCAACAGATTCTAAAGCGGTTTGATCCATTAACATTTGCTTCCATGGCTGCAGAGGAAAGAAAGCTTGCAAGGTCTGGATTTGGCTCCATGATCAACTTGGGATCCTCTCAGTCAGAAAAACGACGTAGAAATACTTGCGACGCTGCTGCAGGTGATAAACTTTCGAATCCTGGATTATCAAATCAAAGTGTGCCTACACAACCAAGTAGTAGTACATCTATGCATGGTTCCGTTCAGGCACCAGCAATGAACAAACCACGTTTGTTAAGACCACTTCTGCCTAGAGAACGTTCAATAGTTGATAAACTTTTGGATGTATTAGTAGGTGATGGTCCTGATAAACGGTATGCTCTAATCTGTAGTGAATGTGCTTCGCATAATGGAATGGCATTAGCAGAAGAATTTGAATATTTAGCATTTCGATGTTGTTACTGTAATCACTTTAATCCAGCACGTCGTTCACGATTACAGACCTCACTGGCGTCAAGAAGTATTGGCAAGTTGGATCCAATAAATTCACAGTCAACACCTTGCCTATTAAGTAAACCTAGCCCCACAGGATTACTAGAAACAATGACAGAAGAAGTGACAAAAACCTCAGGCAATGATGACAACCTCATGAATAGGCATAATGATGACAACACTAGGATTGTTGATGTTCCCCGGAATACTGTCACTGCTAATGGAGACGATGTTGCTGATGTTGATAAAGAGAGTGACAGTAATAAAAGAAGCCATCTGACAAATGGATTCAGCGAAGACGTGGATTTAGACAACGTTGACAGTGGCAGTAGTAATAGTAATGGTGTTGAGGTTAGTCATCATGATTGTGATAATTTAAACAAGTATATACATATGAAAAAGTGTGAGTGATTATCTCAGGGAAGCTCGTCGCCAAGCTACAAATTTTTGTTGTTGTTCTGATGTCCTGTGTTAATTCGTCACTTTCGCCTTTCCTCTTCTTCTTATTTCCCAGTCTCAGTGTGTATATGTCTGTTTTACATATCTATTTATTCTTTATTGTTTCTGTATTAACGAACACCGTCGTTATAATGCTGCCTTACTTTCGTTTATTGTCGATGAACAGGCGTGTATTGATGAGGTTCCCCCTCGACGTACGTACATATACATATATGCATACCTACACTCAAAGTCTGTATGTTTTTGTCTCTGTTTTTCGTCTACATATGTATCTACTATCAACTGTAAAATAAACTTTTCCAGTGTCCATACCTTTCCTCTAGTACTGTATGAGCAGAAGGTACATTACATCCAATAAGTAATTTCACTTTGTTATCTTGCAAAAATGGGAACGTTATATCAGGCAGATGTGGTTTGTTAATAACCACTTCACGATTTGGCACTTTGGCTTCTCCAAGTTTCAGGCTAATATAACGTTCCCAGTTTTGCAAGATAACAAAGTGAAATTACTTATTGGATGTAATGTACCTTCTGCTCATACAGTACTAGAGGAAAGGTATGGACACTGGAAAAGTTTATTTTACAGTTGATAGTAGATACATATGTAGACGAAAAACAGAGACAAAAACATACAGACTTTGAGTGTAGGTTTGCATATATGTATATGTACGTACGTCGAGGGGGAACCTCATCAATACACGCCTGTTCATCGACAATAAACGAAAGTAAGGCAGCATTATAACGACGGTGTTCGTTAATACAGAAACAATAAAGAATAAATAGATATGTAAAACAGACATATACACACTGAGACTGGGAAATAAGAAGAAGAGGAAAGGCGAAAGTGACGAATTAACACAGGACATCAGAACAACAACAAAAATTTGTAGCTTGGCGACGAGCTTCCCTGAGATAATCACTCACACTTTTTCATATGTATATACTTGTTTAAATTATCACAATCATGATGACTAACCTCAACACCATTACTATTACTACTGCCACTGTCAACGTTGTCTAAATCCACGTCTTCGCTGAATCCATTTGTCAGATGGCTTCTTTTATTACTGTCACTCTCTTTATCAACATCAGCAACATCGTCTCCATTAGCAGTGACAGTATTCCGGGGAACATCAACAATCCTAGTGTTGTCATCATTATGCCTATTCATGAGGTTGTCATCATTGCCTGAGGTTTTTGTCACTTCTTCTGTCATTGTTTCTAGTAATCCTGTGGGGCTAGGTTTACTTAATAGGCAAGGTGTTGACTGTGAATTTATTGGATCCAACTTGCCAATACTTCTTGACGCCAGTGAGGTCTGTAATCGTGAACGACGTGCTGGATTAAAGTGATTACAGTAACAACATCGAAATGCTAAATATTCAAATTCTTCTGCTAATGCCATTCCATTATGCGAAGCACATTCACTACAGATTAGAGCATACCGTTTATCAGGACCATCACCTACTAATACATCCAAAAGTTTATCAACTATTGAACGTTCTCTAGGCAGAAGTGGTCTTAACAAACGTGGTTTGTTCATTGCTGGTGCCTGAACGGAACCATGCATAGATGTACTACTACTTGGTTGTGTAGGCACACTTTGATTTGATAATCCAGGATTCGAAAGTTTATCACCTGCAGCAGCGTCGCAAGTATTTCTACGTCGTTTTTCTGACTGAGAGGATCCCAAGTTGATCATGGAGCCAAATCCAGACCTTGCAAGCTTTCTTTCCTTTGCAGCCATGGAAGCAAATGTTAATGGATCAAACCGCTTTAGAATCTGTTGCGCTTTGTTGTATGTCTCTTTCTCCCTCACATCCTCTAACAATTTTTGTTTTGTTGCACGCAGCTTTTTCAGTTTTTCATTTGTCCTGTTTACTCGTCTCAAGAATATCGTTCGGAGAAAATATTTCAACAGGAATATGCACAGCAGACACAGAGCGAATATCAGGTATACTGTGATTCGTCCTGTCACTGTTCGTAATAAACAATGATGAAGCTTAGACCAAAGGTTATTAACGAGTAGAATATAAGCCTATATACGAATTGCTTTTCTGAATCGATACTTCTTGATCGTTCACTCTCCAGTTCTAAGATGCCACTCCTCTTGGGTGGACTATACGGGGACCTGTGTCGGAGGCGCAAATGTCGCCCCTGGTTGCTGTCAACGAAGTGAGTATAGAACGTGTATGGTTCGGGATATGTATGACAAAGAGTTCCACGATAATAGTTCTGTGGAAAGAGGGCGGTCTGTCGAAGATAGGAAAGCGGCAAAATTGGTTAATGAAACCTGTACGTTTGAGAACGGTCGATTTATCGTGGGATTACCTTGGAGATCCGAGGATAAACAGACGGTCTGTAACAGAGAGGTGGCAATGAAGAGACTTCCGAGTCTAAGAAAGAAGTTCCTAGTAAATTCAGATCTGTGAACCAAGTATAAAGAGGCCATCGACAATCACATAGTTAAAGGTTACGTGGAAAGACTGGTTAATCAGAATGAACCAGTGTGGTCCGGATTGCGAGGGATCACTAGTAGGATTGCTGCTGAGATTCAGAATGTCTCCGGTTGCCATTGCAGCTGACATAGAAGAGATGTTTTTACAAGTAAATGCGCCAGAAAGTGAAGTAGAATTAAAGGGAGATGCGGTTGCAGAAGGTATGGATACTAGTGAGACCGTCAGTGTAAATGATCCGAGTGTAGCTCAACTGTCGACAGATGTTAAAGCTGAACTGGAGCTAATAATGAAAGATAGCAGTGATGGTAATCTTGCGGTTAGACAACCTTCTAAAGGTCGAACAGCAACAGCTTCTGATGCAGCGTTAAGTTTTTCAACTGGTGTCAGTCAGTCGTCGTTGGTTTTGTCATATGCAGTAAGAGAGCCGTCCATGAACCAACGTGTCTTATGTGGTGATTATGCTGTTGTCGGTCCGTTCGAGGGGACGAAAGTCAATGGCCAGTTTAGTGACAATAAGCCAACTGTGTACAAGAGGGTAACTGTTAGACTGACTTGCACGAATGAAGGCATTTCAGTTATCAAACTACTATTTGAATGTTATTACCTTTGGTGCAAATTACTCTGTGCCTTCGCTTGGTTGGTCAGATACGTCGTATGCTTGTTAGTCATCTACATTCCACGATACAATGTCACGGGCGTGTTACCATTCAGAGTTGAGGATATAGATGATGGAAGGAGGTGAGCAAATGAACTCAACGACGATTTTCCAACTTAAGGGCGTCAACCTGAGAAGGAATGTAGGCGTACTGCTGTAAGTCCTACAGTTCTTCAAGGGTAGCTCGTCAAGGCAGAATCCACAACATTTGATATATTGATTGTACATATGTTTGTGTTAAGTAATTGAGTGGGTTCCGATTCATCTGATTGTCGGTTAATTTTATAGTTGTCGCATTGTGTGAATCATCTTGTAATGTTTTTGCAAGTACTTCTGAAGTCGCTTCTAAACTTGTGAACGAATCGAATAGTGTTAGAGTCAGCGTACGCGATTGGATACACCGGGGAGAGGATTATGCTGGAGTGGTATGAAGCAACCAATACTTCGTACTGTCGACACGCGCCGGGGAGAGCGTGTCGGTGTGATGTGGTATGCTTGTTGTGTGTTGGGCTTTTTTGTCTTGCTTTTCCATTTTAGCCTAGTCCCAATTGGCCCAGGTTCTCGCATTGGCAGTTCAGTTCAAGGATACCGCCGCCGTGGAAAATAGGGATGGACCCTTTTTTGCCGGGGAGTGTCAATGGACGTTTGTACTAAACATTTGTTTGTAGACTTTGTATTTTGTCTTGCTTTAATTGCCAAACAATATAAACTCGTTCAAGGAATACTGGTGTTTTGGATTTAAAGTTTGGACAAATATATAGTCATTATCGGTTCAAAGAGTCTTTATTACAATAGGAACTTAGGGCTAAGTTCCTTGACAGCATCTGTGTAACTGACAGCTATTTGGAGCGACATCTCTACCTAACACTAGCGCTTAACTCCAGTATTACTCACCATATTATACTACTTACACAGGAGATAGGACACAGAAACCTACGATCAAACACCAGTAGTATTTTTCATATCCCCCAGATCCAATGGTCACTTATCACAAGCTAGGTGGATAATATCATCAGCATACTGTAAGTTGATGAGACTATTCCCTGATAAGCCATTAAAGTCAATTACAGACTATTCTACTAATATACGTGTGATGGAATTAAACTGAAATAGGGATGATAGTTTCAGAAATCAGCCCTGTGTGACATCCCACTTGGAAATGTGTTTTCGCGGATAACTCAAAAACAGTATTAGGTGTGCAGAAAGCATTCTGTAGACTTTATGAGACTCGTAAGCTGATGCACTACTTTTGCAAGCAACATAGTATTTCCTCAATAGAGCGAGAAATACATATTTCGGCTGCGTCAAATGAATAAGTGGTATCGTGGCAATACCTATGACGACAACTCTTGGAACTATGAACTACAAAATTTACTTCACTGGAAACTCCAAGAGTTGTTAAATGAATACGTTTTAAATCATGGAAAATTCCCATTGTAACATATAGAAAATCAAAACAAATGATTCAGCGAAGAGACTCTTTTCAACGAATTTATCATCAAGCTGTACAATCGTATATATATTGTTTTTTTAAGAAGTTATATCCGGTGAGGGAATTGAAACATAGGTGTGAATGCATGAAATAATAATAATAATAATATGAAATGCAATTAAAACTAAAATGTTTGTGATTATAATCGTAGTTAAATGTCAAGTGGCAAAGCAAATTAATGTCATATATAGAATAATTCATAGGATGGATAGAACTTGAAAAAGGTGTGCAATTATAAGATTAGTAGACAAATCGAAAAAATAAAAACGTTACGTAATATTGTGTGAAATTTAATAGCATAGAATTTAATGTTGCATAAAGGAATTGATTTAGAATGACAAGTGGAACAAGTGAAATAATACCGGGGACAATTAAAAGTGAGAGTAGTAATAGTAACAATTGACTTAATAAGGAAGAGTATACAAATTGAATAGACAAAAATGAAAAATTGGTAGAGCTAAAATATGATTGGGGATTACCATACTTTAGCATAGAGGGATTAAGACCATGAAAGTTGGAGGGGTTGAACGAACTTTTTCTGTACACAGAGATCTGGCTTTTCTGTTTCGATAGCCAAAGCTTCAGCAATACAGATGAGTCGGGTACGTAGGGATTTGGGTAAATTACTCTTTGCCTTGTAGATGACTTTGAAGGCGGAGGCTATAGAGATAGGGTGATCATTATCGACCAGATGTTCAATGATCGCGCTTCTTATTGCTCCACTTCCACCTTTTCGTAACCATGCAGGATAGTGTTCTTGCACCCTCTTGGACAAAACTCGTGTCGAACGACCGATATACCTAGCTCCACACGAGCAGGTGAATTGATAAACACACATAGAGTTGGTCAACAGCGGGATCTTGTCCTTCAGGTTATTGAACAATAATGGTCGACTAGAAAAGGCTATTCTCAGGGATGCAGCAGGGAATGTTCTTTTCAGGGACTGTGATATCCTCCGTTTCATGATATCGGAAGCTAAGTCCCCTTTGAATTCCAAGCTCATGTAAAGTATCTTCTTGGGTACGGTTGATAACTCACGTTTTTTAGGATTTGAATGTATATTCTTATCTATAAAACGTGGTGGAAATCCATTTTCTATTAGGATTTTCCTCAAGATGTATAACTCATCTTCCACAGTATCAGGGCTACATATGCGCCGAATACGAGTGGCAAGCGACCGGATCAGGTTTCGTTTTCGACCAATGGGTACCCAGCTGTAGAAATTTGTCAGTTGACCATTCCATGACAGCTTACGATAAATCGATCTTTTCAGGGTTCCATCGGTCCTTCTTGATAAGTTCACATCGAGGAAATGAATGCTAGACTCGTTCTCCATTTCGAGTGTGAATTTTATCGCCGGATGGCAACCATTAAATACATCTAATATATTATTCAAGTTACAATCACTATTACAAATAATAAAGGTGTCATCTACATACCTTTTATACATTTGAAAGCTTTGGATTATAGGCTTCAGCTGATCATTTTCTAGACTGGACATAAAACAGTCTGCAAGGAGAGGACCCAAGGGAGAACCCATTGCAATACCATCCTTCTGTCTGTAGATTGCTTCATTGAAAGTAAACTGTACATTCAATGTACATCTCAGAAGTAGTTCTTTCAGATCTGTAGTGGGTATACCTATATTCAATTTGTTGTCTTCTATATATTTGCATATAAAACATATAGTTTCTGTCAGTGGAACGTTCGTAAATAGGGATTCTACATCCAAAGACAACATATGTTTATTCGACGCATTTATATCCTGTATACATTCAACAAATTGGAAGGTGTCCCGAAGAGAATGATTAGATAGCTGTTCCCTGACAGGTTCAAGGATTTCAGCTAGCTATCCAGCTACTGGATGATAGGGCGATCCAGACATATCCAAGATAGGACGGAGTGGAAGGCCAGCTTTGTGTATTTTCGGTAGACCGTAAAGTCTTGGTATTAGAGATCCTGTTGGTCTGATCTTTTCGTATAATTCTTCACGAATGAGATGATTGTTCTTCATTCTTTTTAAAGCTTCTGTAAGTTCTTTCTCAATTAATTCCGTCTTATTTTTCTCGTTCGGTTTCGAGAATTTACTGCTGTCTGAAAGTAGAGCTGACATTTTTTTCGACATAATCTTTACGATCCATAATAACAACACCTGCACCCTTGTCAGGGCGTGTTAGTAATATATCGTTGTTATGCGTCAAAAGTTTAAGTTCTTCTTTGTGCTGTTTGGTCAGAAGACTTTGCATTTTTGATCTTGCATTAAGGTATTGATTACAAGAGTCAGTGATTGTAGATTTGAAGCATTGGAAGTCCTGTTCTGACGATGGTGTGAGATCATAAGTTTGACTGAGTAGATTCTCAAACTGGACATGTGTATTTAGCTTGTTGACATTGAGATTAACATCGCAAAACTTCGAACCCATTGACAAGGCTTCCATTTGCAACTGTGATAGGGATATTGAGGAGTGATTGAACACGTATCTCTCAGAATTCTCAGGAAATTTTCGAAGACATTCGATAGATTTTAGGCTATTAGATAGCTTAGAGTTAAAAGACATTGTTTGTTTGTTGGTGACCACGTTGACATATTCATTAAACGTCTGACGTTCATCAATCGATAAGTCATATAGAGCAGAAGATCTTTGCGATATATTCCTTTCTAACTCAGGGATACGTGAACTAATAGAGTCAATGTGATTTTATTTTTTTTTATTTTTTTATTTATTATAGCTTGATTCCACACCGTACTTTTGTTACAAGTATGGAATTTTCAGCATGTGATATCGGTAGGCCGACCATAGATATCGGGTGTGCGCCGGCAGGGGATCGAACCCCGAACCATGTGCATGGTCGGCGAGAGTCCTAACCACTGTGTCTCTTGAGAGATTTTGCATTAGGATATGTGATTGCGTCGGAGAACTTTCCAATACCATTTCGGATACTCATGATTATTGATGCATTCATTAAGAAAACAAATCTCCGCATTCGCCACGGCAAGTTTGACAGAGTAACGCAGAAACCCATTGAGTTCCTTCACTGTCGAGGGATCTTTGCTATTTTTTAAATCATGGAAAATTTCCATTGTAACATATAGAAAATCAAAACAAATGATTCAGCGAAGAGACTCTTTTCAACGAATTTATCATCAAGCTGTACAATCGTACATATATTGTTTTTTTAAGAAGTTATATCCGGTGAGGGAAATGAAACATAGGTGTGAATGCATGAAATAATAATAATAATAATAATATGAAATGCAATTAAAACTAAAATGTTTGTGATTATAATCGTAGTTAAATGTCAAGTGACAAAGCAAATTAATGTCATATATAGAATAATTCATAGGATGGATAGAACTTGAAAAAGGTGTGCAATTATAAGATTAGTAGACAAATCGAAAAAATAAAAACGTTACGTAATATTGTGTGAAATTTAATAGCATAGAATTTAATGTGTGGTGGACCTTTTGCTCTGTTAGCTTGTTTACCCAAAATTCAAATAGAAAACAAAATACCAAATCATTTGAGTTTACAAAGATCCAAATTCCACAATAAACGTACTGGATTCCAGAAGTGCTGCGGGAAGACTGCTCCAGTTCTAATTCTCCAGTGTTGACGTTGCCGGAGGTCGACCAAAGTGCGTAGGAAGAGGCTTCGGTGCTCCTGCAAAAATTCGAGATAAAAAGCAGGTTGTTATAATTGATCGACGGCAGTTGAGATGGTGGAGAAGACGGAGACTCGAAGGCAGAATTATATATTTTTTTTAAACTCGAGGGAAGTTCAAAGTACAGAGCTTTTGGTTGAAACAAAGTAGTGTACAATATGTTCATTTTTACATAATAGTAAAATTTGGATAAGTTTATTTTTGAGGACTCCACAAATGTTGCATAAAGGAATTGATTTAGAATGACAAGTGGAACAAGTGAAATAATACCGGGGACAATTAAAAGTGAGAATAGTAATAGTAACAATTGACTTAATAAGGAAGAGTATACAAATTGAATAGACAAAAATGAAAAATTGGTAGAGCTAAAATATGAACCAACCAGGAACCGATGTTGAAACAAATAGGCAGGAAGAAATGGAGATGGATTGGCCATACTCTTAGGAAACCATCAAGTGACATCACTAGACAAGCCCTTGAGTGGAACCCGAAAGCGAAGCGGCGAGTTGGTCGTCCAAAGGTGACTTGGAGGAGGTCATGTGAAGAGGAGATAAAAACTTGTGGGCAGACTTGGAGCCAGGTGAAGACCCTAGCAGAGAACAGAACGCAATGGAGACGCACGGCTGAGGCCCTATGTTCCTGTAGGAATTAAAGGATACAATAATAATAATAAAATATGATTGGGGATTACCATACTTTAGCACAGAGGGATTTTTCCGGACCTTTTGTAGTGAAGAGAGGCAGAGCTCTATGCAAAAGATATGGCTGTTTATTCACCTGTTTGAAAACGAGAGCTGTGCATTTTGACATGGTTCATACGTTAACTACTGATTCATTCGTTCTGGCGTTACGTAGATTTATAAATCGCCGAGGTACACCTAAGATGATGTTCAGTGACAGGGGACTAATTTTGTTGGCTGTCACGCCGAGCTTGAAGACTATTTCGAAGGTCCTCAGACGAGAGTTCATGAAGAGTTATTGAAAAGAAACATTGAGTGGCACTTCAACCCACCACATGCCAGCCACATAGATGGGCTATGGGAAAGACTTATAGGAATTACTAAGCCTATTTTAAGCTCCATAATTAAAAAGCAAAGTTCGAATGACGAAACGTTGGAGACATTTTTATGTGAAGCTGAACGAATACCAAATGACCGGCCTCTATTACCTGTGATGGACGACGACAAGGATTTCGATGTGTTGACTCCAAATGAATTATTGTTATTGCGAGGTAACCGTGGCATAGGGTACTTGAGTGCGGAACGAATACCTACGATTAAAAAAGATGGAAACAAGCCAGGTCCATGAAAGATATATTTTGGAAAAGATGGTTAAAAGAGCATGTCCTAAGACTGCAAACAAGAGACAAGTGGAAAAAGTTGTGCAGAAACTTAAAGGTCGGTGATATAGTCTTAGTAGCAGATAAATGTGCCACAGGTAGATGGCCTTTGGGAGTGGTTGAAAGGGTACTCTGTAGTGGTGATGGATTGGTGAGGACGGTTGAGGTGAGAACACGTTGTGACATGTTGGTGAGAAATATTAGGAAACTGTGTCTGCTGGAAGGTGCTGAGAGTCGAGAGTCAGAGGATGGACCACTTGACGAGTTTCCTACTTGGAATCGTCAACCTGAGAGGGGTTGCAGGCGTACTGGTGTAAGTCCTGCGATTCTTCAGAGGAATTACATCAAGACATGGTCTGCGAGGTTATGTGTACTGCTTGTATATATGCATGGTGTGTCATATCAATTGGTGTTTTTGGATTCACTGTGTTTACTTGTTGTTTTCGTATTTTGTTGTGAACAAGCGCCCTACGCCTAAAGTGGGGGACCCAGTGGCCAATATAAATTTGAACTGATTTAGTGGGCATAATCACTCTGTGACAAATTTTTTATAGATATGTGCTATTTGTTTTTAGACAAATAAAACGCTGCTATGTGTTAATGGTTTTTCCCTTTTAAACGTTGTCTTTAATAACTGAAAGATACAATTGCAGAATTGGAGCATACTTGTAAGGAACTATTTTTCTACTATTGTATTTGATATAGTAAGCGGTCTTATTAACTGGATAGTATGAAAAGCCCACGTGTAATCATAACTGTATATTAAACAAATTATATTACTTTATTACTACTAAATAAATTTGATAGTAAATTAACAACAAGTACCATAGTCTTATGTTCGCATAAACTAATTGACAAAGCATTGAATACGGTCGTGTCAGTTGAAAGAAAACAACGGTCAATATTTCAGCGAGCTTTTACTAATATCCTTCTATGAAGGATGGCACCCGGTCAAGTTAGAGAACAGAAGAGACCGCTGAAAATTTCAGTGTGTGCTATAATTTTGACAAAATGAAATTTATATTTTTTATGCAGAACAAAAAGGAATCCAAAGGTTGTTTAGAAGAAACACTTGACGAATATTGACTTAACGAAATATTCTCATATTGAGTCATAAGAAAAAGAAAAAGACGTAAAAGCCAATGAACATTTTCTTCTCGACGATTCATTTTCATAAGCTGTACAATCGTAATTATGTCTTTAACAAAGAATTCATAAGACTAATCGGATACTGGTAAAATTTGTCCTCGAAAATGCATTACGCAATGTAAGGTGTAATCTAGAAGGGGTGACTAATTAGAAATTAGAAAAGGGGCAGAAATTGGGATGATGCAGTAAGTATGAGAGAATGACTAATCAATGTAATTGTACACTTATGTATTCACTTTGTTGGAACAACTTCTTGATTTTCGGACTACATGTAGAGCCTAAATGCAAAAAATTGTATACTACTGATTGATTGAGATGAGTCGTTGTATACTACTCACATCAACCAGTAGTATTTGCTAGACACACGGACCGGTGTTTAGATCACTTTGAGCTGGTCAGAAAATACTACTGTGGTGAGTGGTACTTATAATCGGATATGAGTGGTATATGAGTAAACGAATTCAGAAAAGTAACATTATGTTTTGGGCATTGGAAAAAGCGGTCAAAGGAGAGAACTGTGAGGAGAACATTGCAACACTGTGCAGAATTCAACAAGCTATCGAATGTGGTGATATTCGACCAATTTGCATGTGATGTGTAAATAAGGACTTAAAGATAAGGTGTGCCAAATTTATCTACCTACAATGCGTTTGTCACAATAAACATTACCTTCGAGCCTCATCTGTCTTTTCGTCTTTACACTACTCGTTGATATAAGTGGTACATAGCTACTCACCTCAATCACTCAGCAGTTCATAGTTTTATGTATTTACGCTTGGTTTTTTGATTACCATTTGTGGTATGAAGCAGATCATATATTGTGATGTTTTCAGAGGAAGCTACAGTGAAATCATCACCTCGAGCTATGTAAACTGAGAATCAGTTGCAAACTCAAAATTTGATAAACGTAATGCCAATGAAGTTTTTTGGACAAGTCAAGTGAATTAGAGATATATTAGTTAAATCCCAGTGCATTGTTACTTTGTATAAGAGATCCTGTTCATCAGTCAGGTCTAGATAAAAACTACAAATTCAACAAATTGGTCATACACTTACGTCCCTAGTTCAGTCGGTTATAACATAAAATAATATCAAAGTTGTTATGACTACTAGAAGTAACAAACACAGTTTCATGGGATTGCTAAAAAACCGAAAATGGCGTTTTCACTACATTACACATCATGCCAAATGAAATAGACACCTGCCGCTAATCATATCATACAAAAAATGAGAGATATCATGATTCCAGTCAGCTCTAAGTAAAAGTGAGCTACAAATTAGTCAAATGACAAACTGTATAAATCTTGCATTCGATCAAATGACTGTTGAATCAACACACTACTTTGCACAGAAACGCTGGGCTTTGAAATACACAGAAAAAAGAACAGAAATATGACGAGACAACAATCCATAAACACGGGCATGGAAATATTAATTAAATTTAGGTCCGGTGGATGTGTTCTGGATCTGAAAGATGATAAAGAGTGAATACGTTTGACCTACTGCGAAAAATTCTCGTCCATCTTACCTAAACTATTCAGTCACTGCATCTCAGTATTTGTGCATGATCATTACACTCACTCAATATCTTATGAACGACTTGAACTAGTGATTTAATATTTACCATTACACCACACAATACTCAGCATCTTTTGTTGTATAATAGGAGTGAACTTATAAGCTAGTGAATTTGTTAAAATTTTTTATAAATGAAACAACGAATCAGCGAGTGATTCAAAATAGGTAATGTAAAAGGTATTTAGTACTATGCTCATCCAGAAGTTATTTTGCTCTGAAAACTAACTAAGAGAAATAAAGGATCGGTAAACACATCATTTCCAAGAACATATTGACAGACTCTGTCAATGGATCTCAGTGCGATTGATCTAATACTGAAGAAATCATCTGAATTTCCGAAGTATTTTAATTTCTCTAAAGGTAAATTTTTCAGGTGGTATATACTTGAATAAATGTCCAGTGTTAGTCTAAAAACGAGGAACACCTTACTGATTGAATTTACACTTTTTTCTCCTTTTTTCTATGCTATAGGTTCATTTGGAAACAGTTACAATCTAGCTCATATTGGCACGGGCATACTGTTGGCTTTGATTTTTCTTCTTTCCATAGCCTGTTATGTTTATTATCATGAATACAAACGTAGGAAAAATATGCCATTGGATCCTTTAACAGAGTTAACTGGTTCAAAACACTCACTAGCATTGAATCAATCTACTCAAAAACTGAATGCACACTGTTCAAACAAGAAACATCAACTGCATAAGCATTACAATTGTCAAACGTCTGGATTACTGTGCGATTTGTTAACTGAGAAAGAAACTGATGTCAGTTCAGTAAAAAAGCATCAACATCATCGTCATCATTATCTGCATGCCCAACATCTGTCACATTCGCATCAAGTCTCCTCGCATACTCATCCTCACCGTCATCACCACCATCATAATCATAACAGAAAAGTGTTTGAACAGGATGGACACTCACATTTAGTCAATGCACAACATGATTGTCATGGTGCACATTTTCCGTTGGATAATCAACATGATCATTGTCGTACAAACAGAATGAGTAGTAAATTGCAACAAAGGACTCCATCACATTCAGGATCACTAGTCAGAAATGGTGGACGTACGGTGGTACGAGATTCTTTACATAGTAGTGCTGCTAACAATCCAGGTGGATTACTTGTTGCGGGAACTGGGACTAATCTATCAACCAGTATGGATGGAGGTTTACTTATCAGAGAAAGAATGCCAAAAATATCGATAGTTTGATTTCCGTAAAAGGTGGAAATAAGCAGCTGTAAATAGATTTCCAATGCGTCTTCGTTATTATTTTAAGTTTTTACCTATTACATACATTTTGATGTAGTCAGATGGTGATATTATTTATTGTTACTATTAGTTCTAGGTATGAGAAGCAAATGTCCTTACAAACACTATACTATACTGATGCCTAATCATTCCAATTTTTGTGCGTGCTGTACACTATTCACTAAAAAACGGAGCTAACGGAAATTCAAGATTAAAAAGTGTATGATAACCTCTGTCTTCAATTTCTTTTTCACTTGTCCGTCGTCTTTGTAAGTGATATTCAGATAAGTCTGTTTTCTCCAGCAGTTTGAAATTACCTATTCCAATTTTAAATGCAAATTTTTAATTCCCAGCGTTCTTTTTGTTGCATTTTCAATCAGTTCAAATTGCACTAAATATATATATAAACATGTGAGCAACTTCCTGCTTATATTCATTCTTTAACTGTCTGTAAATAATTCAGTGAACTGTATTCACAAAATATTTGTAAACTAAATATTGCTTTGTATAAAAGCGGGAAATACACGTGATGTTTTCTCTTCCCCTTTCCTAACACCGTCACTCTCACTTGTTGTTTTCTTACTTCCGAACTCAAACTACTAGAGATTACGTTATTCTAAGGAATCCGGTGTTTGAGAAATTTTTTAACGTAGAAATCGCTTATTTCTAAGCATGGTGTGTTTTGTGTAATCTGATAAGTAATTAAATAAGAAATGTAAGTTTTTAAAGTTCTGTGTCAGTTGACAGCGGTCTCATCCAACAGTAAACTAGCATATCTAACATAATATCAGCTAGGTAACTGTATAATCCGTGTAAACCAAATATGATTGGAGAGCAAATATATAAGATAAACTAAAAAAAATTCTGTGTTATTGTATTCTCTAAGTTGGATGGTTTATCTGCTAGGCTTTCATAGTCTTTTAGGACAACACATAACACACCCATCTCATTTACACCTCCTCTCTGGAAGTTTAGACAGAAGAAAAAAAGAATAGAAAGGCTGCACGATTTGATTTATATAAACAGATTTAAATTGTCAGTATCCAACAGCTTGGCTAGTAATTTGTTAGTTTGTTTTCATCGTCCGTTTCTCACTATGATTTCATAGTTGTGTAGCGGTAAATAATTCCCCAAAATTATTAACCACAGCAATCATCACTCAACATTGGATGCTGACCATCACTGTTTAAGTCGACTTGTTTAGCTGAAGGCTTCCGGTCAAGCATCCCCGCCATTTGGTACCCCGTCGTGTCACGTGCGTGCATGATTACTAGCTAGCTAAGCATTCATCTCTACCTGCAATTTTGTCCCGAAATATACTACGTACTTTGGACGACAAAATCTGGTCTTTTGCTGTACCATTTGGTACTCGAAGAACGAACACTATAGAAGTTGTTGGTATAAGATCTTGCGTTAGTATAATCCGTACAACTCGCGAACGTCGATACCGTCAATCTCTAAAGTTGTTATTATTGAGTGTTAACTAAACAGGAGTCGCCTAGCTTGTATCTTTGATTTCAAGGTTGCTTCCCTTATAAACATTTAGTTAGAAAGCCGTTAAAAAAGCCAAGAGCGCTAATGAGCTACTTAGTTTTGTTTTGAAACAATTTATTAGTTCATATCTACAACGTTACCATAGATTGATTTCCGAACAATTTACTATCTACCCCATGTGAATTAATCCAGCTCTAGACGATTTGAATTTCCTCTAAATGGTTACGTAATGGCAGGCGGATTGTAGTCGGAACAGCTTGCAGTAAGATTTTATTCCTCACGTGGTCACAGTTAATTCATTTACTCTTCACTGTTATGCTTTTCTTCCTGTTGAACTTTATACCTTGTTTAATATGTCGTTAACCTACAACACTTTCAGAAAAAGAATAAACACAAACGCCAGTGGTTTCCGGTAATTTCTTTAGGATGTAAAGCTATAATAGTCAGTAAAAGCAAATGGAAATCACATCAGAAACTGTGCTAAGGTGTAAGTGCAATATGGAATTAAAGTTAGTCGGTTTTGATTATCATTTGAATATACAAACTATACAGTCGGTAAGATCATAAGATAAAATGAGATTAAACAACCGAGTGATGTGTTTACATATTCATAATCAATTATACTATGGGTTGCAATGAGTGAGTAGTATTTAATGTGTGAGAAGAAATATAAGTATCACAAAAAGGAATATTCTGAATGTAAGTTCGACAGATGGAGGATAACAACAGTAACGGTAAAATAAAGTAGTCATAATGTTACGTCTAATACTATCCCTCCCAATATTCAAGTTGCACTTCATATACCACTTTACACTTTTGGGTAAATTAGGTTTCATTTTGAACTGTTGTACATTTTTTGTTTGACTGGACACTTTTGGTGACTGAGAGCCGTTTTGTGTTCAACCATTGTGGTCTTGATATTTGAATGCGGGATAACCTCATAATTGAAGCTTGTACTTTAATTAGTTGCTACATTTTGTCAAATAGATCTGGATTCTGGATTGAAGATTGCTATTTGGTATCCTCTTTGAGAATAATTCATGCACTGGCGGAGACACATATACTGTTATTTTTTCAAACTTGAACGAGGAAACACAGGAAGAGATATGCCAGACAATTGTACCAATGGTCAAACAGAAAAAACAACACACACAACTCAACTTTCAAGAAATAAAGGCCCTCAAAAAGCTGAAAAATAGGAAGGATATCGTCATTATACCAACCGACAAAGGAAGAACAACAGTAGTCATGGACAGAGAAGAATTCACCAAGAAAGCTGAAGAACTACTCAAAGACGAGGATGTATATCAACAACTCCCAAGAAGTCCCATATAAACATTGAACAACCGCATCCAAAGGACCTTAAACAAGCTCACCAAAAAATGGACAGATCACAAAACAAGACCAATGGCGAATGAAATCCAGTGGACCAGTCCTACCCCGATTCTACGGCAGACCCAAAATACACAAGCCAAATATCCCATTACGACCAATTGTATCACTCCCAGGAACTCCAACATATAACTGATCCAAAGAATTATACACAAAATTGAAACACCTAACGGAATCTTGTGATCACTGCATCAACTCTGCTATCCAATTCCTAGAGAAAAATCAGAGGCATCGAAATAGATGAACAAGAAATAATGATATCCTTCGATGTCACAGCATTATATACCTCAATCGGACAAAAACTAGCAAAAGAGACCATGGAGCGATTACTCAGCAACGACGAACACCTCCCACAACAATCAAAAATGCTACACAAGCTGGATGGAATGCATAAACCTACACCTAACAACGTACTTCCAATTCAACGGTGCAATATATGAACAAGTCAAGGGAACACCCATGGGATAGCCAATATCAGGTTTGATTGCAGAAGCAGTGATGCAAAGGCTCGAAAACATAATCCTACCAAAGATCAAACCCAAGATTCGGATGCGTTACTAAAATCCAGCTGAGAGAACACAACCACTTCAAAAGCATCCACCTGAGCTACAAATCTTCTCTATCATAACTATTAAGGCTGGTAGGTGAGTCAAACGATCTGAGCCCCTAACATACGTAGAATTTCTAGAGAGACTACAGAGAGAACAATTCTAGGACTAAGTGCAACCAAATGCATAAATTCATTGGATTCTTACAGAAACACAAATTTTTCAGAAAAATGGCAAATATAAATAATATATGTGTAAATTATGCTTCTGGTTTTCAATTTTGTCTAAAAGAGAAGACATTTAAACATCTTTTTGAAAATAAGTTACATTGAGTTACATTTTGGTAGTGTTAATTTAGAAAAATGAATATACCGACACTGAACCTAAAGACTGCAGAAATATGGAATTAACACTGCACATCTTGGTGAGTCAGTCCTTTCATAGGCAAGCCATACCCCGGTTGAGACGAATCAGATCCATTTTCGTTCTGTTTATTTTATTTTTCATAAGTGTGGACATAATTTTAAGCTGCATTATAACTGTTAATTTTGTATTTCCCCTCACTATACTATATCAACAGAACATTAGACCCAATAATCTATAACATGCTAAAGGTCCCAAACTGAATCGACAATACAGTTTGAAACAAACTCACTGTTATTATTATTATTATATCTAATAATTACGTCATAAATGTGGACAAATTCCTCAGATTAATTTTGTTTTAATTTTTAATTTTATATGTACTTTGAGTAAATCACATGCAATATTGTGACAAATGCTGAGAATTCCATTCTGTATTATAAGTACTGTTTTTGGAATAAAGTAAATTATTATTATTATCCTTTTCCTCTGCACAATCAGGTCCCATTTTAGAGTGCACTTCAGAAATAAATAACCGAGAAAAAAGCACCATAACTCAAAAGATGATGTGGATAAAAATAGCTCCATGGAATGCAAGATCACAGAATAACTTTGAATGTCTGAATTTTCGAGAATATTGTCCACGAATATGCCCTGATATTTTATCGCTATGTGTTCCAATTCTTTTATTATTTTTTGGTGGGTGGTGAGGCACTTTCAGGGTGTGATGAGACTGTTCAATTCTTTAACTAACGTCATTCCCCCTTCTTCGTTTCTCAGCTGTCCTCGACGCCAGGTGAGTAAACACCCTTTAGATGGTAATAATTAGATAAAATCCTACCTCGCCAAGAGGTGTTCAGTATCCCGCTCACAGCAGTTCTTCAAATAGTTTCCTCCTCAACATAACTTGGTTTTGACTGCTGTCTCCGCCTATTTGTCATCTCCGTGAGCGGGTTAAACTTCCCAGCTAGCGTGAGTTCATTAGCTGTCGTTCTAAACAGAACTCACAAACAGCCCAACGGAATATATCATATAGCTAACCTTAGGGATACATATTACCTTGGCACCAGCACAGCGAACGTGGGATCGATGAAAAAACATAACGTCGTCATAATATCGAGATGTTCAAGGTGTGAAGCACCAATTCCTATGGCTAGTATTACCGAACTCTCCACTGACACTTTTCCCAGGCGTATCTGTCCACCGGGAGCATGAAATGTGATCTGAGTAGACCTTCAAGGCAAAAGTATGTGAAAGAGTATCCGCATACTGTTGGCTTAAGCTGAGGAGACAGGATAGATAAAACCCTGCTTACTAATTTTAGATGAACGCACTCATGACAGCGAAAATTGGTTTGCAGACATTTACCGTCAGGTAACGGAAGGGGATACACCAACTACAAAGCGACCCATAACACTCTGATATAACTAATTCAATAGAAAAAACTAGCCAAAAACTAAGTTCACGAATGATGGCATTACATTATTTCATAAGATATGCAGCAGGCACTCCAAACCTGCTGCGTGTATATACCCTACACATATTTGGTGTCTTCACGTTTTTGAGATTCATAGTAACGATCCGGTGACTGATATCATAACCCTAGTTTAGTTCAAGTCGGAACTCCCTCATGAGAAACAAAGGCACACAGTAGAGAACCCAAAACATAGACCCGGAATATAGGCTAGTCGAACTGATATCCATTAAGAAGCGGTTTATAGTGGAGGCTGATGTAGGGCTCCTACAACACAGTACTCTGTGGCCATTCGGATATATTAAATGATTAAGTAACTTGGAAGAGTGGGACGGGAGATCAAGCAAGAACGACGTCATCCTTCTAGTTCTTAAGGTTTCCATTATCTGTTGAATAGCGAATGCCTCCTCCATGTGTTTCACAAGGTTTACTGCTTCAACTAAACTCTGCCGTGCTTTCGATGATAACGCTTTAAGAACACCATTAGTCTCCCATACTATTGTGAGCTGTCAGTCGGCGATTTGAGTAATTATTTTGACAGGGAAGTCAATTCTAAAAATACAGCTGATACCATGCTAAGGTCTTTGGCCCAAGACTTTCTGCGTTAGCAATGCTCTGATGGACTGGTGTTTCCACGATTTCGTATGTAAAGCGCAGGGAGTCTAGGATGTAGATGACCCAAGAAGGCGGTGGCAGGTTCTTCTGAAGCCGTACAGATGGAACTATTGCGGATGGCCGACTTGTTATTTTTGCATCCATAAATCAAAGGACAATATGTTTGATCTCTGCATTGCTGGTCAGGGCATCCGAAGGAGTGTGCACTTCCCACGATACAAGCGTGTACAGCGACAAGAGAGAGAAAAAAGAAAAGGAGAGATAAAAATACCCTGAGGAACACAACCTTCAGCAAGCAAGGCGGAAGATTTACCCTAATATACAGTATGCTGTATGCCATTTGGGAAATGATAATGCAACCAATCACCTGCACAGGACTCGTGTTTGCACGACCGAAACCTTACTCAACTAATATCATCTAGGTCCTTAGTCAATAATGGCATATGCTGAATAACTTAAAGCTTAGCACAAAAGTGATAAAGCACAAAAAACACTTGCAAAGTAGGAGACGAGTCCCGGGTGGATGAAGAGGTTACTGAAAGGTATTTATTTGTCATTTAGCAAAGAACAAGATTAAGAAGTGCAATTATCATTTGTTGACATTCTGGAGACCATTATTCAGTGTTTCGCACTTAGTTATGCCTAGCCTGTGTCATTCTGCCTGACTTTCAGTATGACTTCGCAAAGAAGTCCAACTGTTCAGTTTACCACATTCCATGCACCACACAAAGGTAGAGACATAAAACTAAATGGAAGTTTAACGAGCGAAAATTTGAGGGAGAATAAATAGAGACAACATGAGTTGAGTAGATACCTGAGATTACGCAGAGTGAATGCATCTGTGCCATAAACAAAGACTTGCAGACATATATCTAGTAGTTCTTCTAGCTGACTGTCAACGATTTCATGAACCAATAGCAGTCTTTCATTCGACCGACCCAAACACATTTTGAACCTTAACATGTGCTGGCCAACATTATCCCTCGAGGAAGGCGATGGCTTGGTATGCAATCACGTGTTATAGCCATCTCAACCTATTCAGCTTCCCAACCTTGAAGACTAACTTACCCTCCTCGCCTAACACTTTACGCGTAACCTTAAGAGCAATCGCCATATAATACTGCTTTAATCATGAGATAGAACACAGACACCTATAATCAAACACCGGTATTCTTTTCATATTTTCCAGTATCAGGGGTAACTTCTCATAGTATAGGTGTACAGTATCATCAGTAAACTGTAAGTTGATGATGATAAGTCTCTAAAGTCATTTATAGACTATCCTACTGATATATGTGTGATTGGATTGAAATGATATAAGGATGACAGTTTAAGAATTCAGTCTTGTGTTACATCCCAATTGGAAATGTGTTTTCTCGGATAATTCACAAACAGTAATCACTGAATAGAAAACATTCTGTAGAATTTATGAAACTCATTAACTGACGCAATACTTTGGCAGGCATTATAGTGTTTCCTCAATAAAGCGAGATTTGTATATTTTGGGTGCATAAAACGAGTAAGTGGTATCCTGGCAATACCAATGACTACAACAAGTCTTGGAATCATGCACCACAACTTTTACTTTACTGAATACTCCAGCAGATTTGAAATATACACTTGACAAATAGCTAATTTATACAGGAAGTCAGTAAGATTTACTAAACTAAAAGCACTTTCGGTTTACATAGGAGATCTTCATGCCGAATTTATTCCTCCGAGGGCCTACACAGATTACAACTTCAATTAAATAACATTGACGTTGAAGAAATTCCATTCTTCATCACTAAACTTAATGACAATAATAATGTCTTTTATTCTAGAAACAGGAGCATTCGTAACGTTTCACTTTATGTAAATGCAGTTACATACAGTTGCACTAAGAACTCAGTGCAACTCGGTGCACAATAGCATATACACAAATAAACTGAAAAATAACGTCCTCCTTACCTTCTGAACAAATTTTCCTTGTTACAGGATAATAACTTTCTTTCACGTATGAGCCTGAGATATGTCTATGAAATCACAATATTATATCAGTTAAATCTCGCCCCGAAACCAAGGCCACTTGAAACCAATAGCAGCATACAGACAAACGTCATTGAGGGGATATGCAATAAAGTCGCTCAAATAAATAGCATTCATTCCCATGGATGCGTTTTTGATCCCATATACTACTAATTATGTTCTTCAGTTCTCTTATTCTATCAAATAAAGCCTCTAATGAGATTTCAAATATATTTCGTTTGACGCCTATGCGACCACTGCTGGTTTATCCCCTATGTGTATTTTATAGAGAATATTTTCTCGACATTTTGATTGACGGATCTAAGTCCAAAGCCCTCTCTCATTAGGTTGAAGGAGGAGTATACAAGAAACATAAGGCCCAATAAAGAAACCAAGACGTAAATTTCGACGCTATAAATTGATTTACCTGGATGAGTAATGTTTATTGTTGGCTTTCAAATTACACCGCCAATTTGAAAGTCAAGGTCAATAATGTTGAATACATCGAAAGAAAGCCAGGCTCAGGCTGCACTTGAATCTCATCTTAATAAGCTTGATGAAGTTGAAAGAAAAATATCACTCATCATGCAGCATGCAGGCAATGCTCTTGAGAAGCTTTCTAAAATCAAACCAGTGGTAAAACAGGTTGAGAACTACACACAACTTTCGGACCATTGTAAAGGATGTGGAGACAGAGATGAACGCGAATATTAGCTATCTGTCTCAGATATCTGCCGGATTGCCCTACGAAGGATCTACTTACGAAGATACCACTAGTTTTCGCCGCTCAATTAATCGATTGGTTTCTGCAAAACGCCACTTAGGTTCTTGTTTGTAAAGTTTCCAAAATATAACTATTTTTCCAGTTGCTTTTGTTTTTGTTCATAGCATTTACCTGCCAATAAACTTCGTCTGTTTTTTTTCAGGTGTTCTAGGCTTTTAAAGATGGAATCAGAAGCCTCATAACGCTGTGAATGAAAACATAGAAACTAGTTCTAACATTGATGAAACGTCAAGAAGAGGTAGTAAATGTGATGACAATATGCCTGTTCATTCCGCCTTCTCTGAGTTCGAAATTCCTGAAATGGAGTTCGATGAATTCGAGTTGGAATTAGCCGCTCAAAAAGGTGCGTTAATAATTATTGTAACTGCCTTACTAAGTTATTTCTGAAGTGTAGTAGTTTTTGCTGACCAGATTCTCTATTTATTACATTTTATCCTGATGTTAAAATTTTGTGTTGATCGTGGTAGGTTGCAGGTACATCTAGGTGGAATGCAGTTTCATAACGTTTGTGGTTGATTTCTTTTTGTTTGTGGACTTTGTCTTGAGGACTAGAATATATGCGTAGGACAGTAATCTTAACACATTGAGGCAACCAGAAATCTGCGTACTTACTTTGAAGAAGATATTACTGTAGGGGTGTACGTAAAGTTTCGTTCCGTTGGGTTTCCATAGTTCACTGTGGATTGCTTATCGTTGGCTATATAGTCGACTACTGAAATTATTTTGTCATTGTGACGGTAAATTTAGCAGCTTTAGCATTTCAGCACTGGACTTAAGTGGCGAATTTAAATTTCGAATTCTAAGTAAGGACCATAAGTGTTTTTCCGATGGTGTACCTGAGCTTATGTTAAGGTGTCTGAACCCTAAGAGAGTGATCCACAGCATGGATCCTTCAAGCAGCAAATTTGTGCATTTCTGTATATTTGGCAGTAGGCCATACTTACTCCGTGTAGGTGTGTGATTGTGTCATGACATAAGTGGATCGACTGGGTTTGGTTGTGGTTTGTCTTGTATTGTTTGGAAGAGTAATTCGTAGAGATAAACTACAACAGAAATGTTAGTTAAAAATGATAATTATCTTAGTTGGTGTGAAGGATAGTTATCTCTAACAAAACTCTGCTGTTTGTAAGTGGTTACCCCAAATGCGAATTTTTTAAAATTTTACCAGCCGTCGTATTCCAGAGTTGAATTTCTTACTGTTACAACTCTTCTCATATTCAAGGTTTATGGGTGCTCCTACTTACTGAAAGTAACTTGGATGTCTTAAAAGTAGTTTTGTTCATGTAGTTAAATCCAGGGGTGTTCAATTTACTCTTTGTATTGTGTGAGATTCAGGCTTCTGTATCTGAGTTAAGTAACTGATGACATATAAGAAGTCATTTATTGGGTTAGTGTCCAGCTTTTTTAAGCATTTGAGTAAAGGCAATAGTAGCAATATATCCAAACATGTTAATGTACACTAGTTTAGTCAAGAGTTGTGTAAATACACAGGTAAACTGTAATTCTTGTCGTGTAAATGGCTGGTTCATGTCCACAGTTGACTAGTCTTTCTGGTGTGGATAATTTAATTAGAAGCTTTCGTTATTCTTCTAGATAAGATCTTCATCGCTAACATTAGTGTGAAGTGTCTTTTGGGAATTATCCATGAATGATGTAGGTTGCTTTCATGATGACGTCGACTCTGATTGGTTGTCTTCAAAAGGTATTTCATCCTTGTGTTCGACTGGCATTAGTATTCGTCGTTTTGTCGACATTTTTGCCATGTAACTCACCCTTTATTTCTACTGTTTGAAATTTTCACATTTTCCCAGTCAAATTTGTCTCCGTAAATGTCTACTTGTATTGATATGAAGGTTTATATCCTGTTTTGTGATGGCTAGTCCACTGTTTTGACTGCGAAAGGCGTCTACTTTGGACAACAGCGTTTTCACAGTTGATGCAATTAGTCTTGTAGATGGTGTTGATCTTGTCTTTTGTCTTTTAATCTTTTGGCTTACATAATATTAAATAAAGTAATAATGCCAGTTCGTGTGTGATTTCTATTCAGATTATTTTTTAGTATTCTAACAATGATTTCAGAAATGTTCTTTCTATGTTGTAAAACGAACATTTTCCCGTTTCCAAAGTACGTTTTTTCGGTAGTCTTTTTGTTTGATTTCAAACATCTAATGAAGTTAGGAGAGCATCCTTTTTTCTTTAAAACGGTCAAGAGGTATTTCTCTTTTCTCAAGAGTAAAGTGCTGCAATATGCCTCGGCTTCTTCACGTCGGCATGAGTTCGATAAAAGTGCCTTGATTACTGTGACATTTTCTCGATACACCCTTCACAGTCAGACATCACTACAACTCTTGGTCGATAGGGTGAAACGTAGCCTTCGGGTTGAAAAATATGGAAAAAGTCGAACGCCGGTAAGTGTGTCTATTTTTCTGAACATGCCGAGTGGGGAAAATATGGTTAAGGCTACGTAGTCTGTGTCTAAAATCTATCTGGTCTTCACGGGTGCGTTTTTCCAAGGTGTCGTTTAGTCTTTGTACGACTTTGAACCTCTCGATTAGCAATGTAAACTGATTCGTTGGGAATACCTGGGAATCCCGCATACTATCCAATACCTTCGTTAATTTAGTCAATGATTTTTCAGTCATCCTTAAGTACCTCTAGAATCCTGCTTTGTCTTGTTTTAGAATACAGACATCTATCGCGCCTTCAGTTACATTTGGAGGACGGATGTCTGCATGTCATTGAGGTAGGTATTGGATGCTGAGGAAGTTTAGCGTGGGTGTGTGCCAGTTGAATTGTTCCTCAATGTGTCTCATTGAACGTGCCAGACGTCTATCAAGGAGGTTGATTGAAGTACCACATTTCTCGGGAATTGTTTCTTTTATCAGTATTGTTTTACAAACCGTTTCTCTAATGGATCTAAATAGATTTCTGGTATTATCTGCCGTTGATGAGTTTTCAATCTCTAGTTATTGTTGTCCACCACTAGACAGCACACATATGACTATTCACTGGAATCGAATCAAATAGCTAGTTTTTGTGCCCTAGCTCTCAGTTCTATTCCTGCCTCTCCGAAAACAGAGAACCATTTTAGACGGCTTGCTTGTGTTTAGAGGGAAACATCTTACTGCTGTTACATCTCTATTCACCAGCTGTACGATGTTGTTCATAGACCCTACAACATACTGTCAGCAACTTACACTAACTGTCTAGTGTAGCAACAATGCAAACGACTTTTCTGGCATATTGGAACATGTTAGGGGCGGTTATCGTAGCTCGTTGGGTCGTCGCCAAATACAACCCCGACTACCACGTCACGCTAGTAATTATCAGTCGAGACATGTCACCAATGTTTGGAGCTATTGACTATTGGTTCGATCCATATAGGAAGGTGTAGGAAGCTTGTCTAGGGTGTTGTATATGATAAGACTGTAGGTTACGTAGGGCAGTCGGTGCTAAATATGTCCCACGTACCTTTTTGGACCACATATCCGCTTTTGACTAAGAACTTGGACTTCTTTTGTAAAATGAGCTTGCTGTGTCACAGGCTTGGTGCTGGATTGATAATTGGTTGCATTCTTATTTTTTGACAAAAAGACTGAGATTAGCAATAAAAATGACGAAAAATAATATAGAATTCAAAGACTTTGTAGTACTATAGTATAAAGAAGGAACGTCAGAGGCCTTAAGTAGCATTTTCAATGAGGCTGAAATTATGGTGGCATTTTAACCAACTAACCAACTCATTCACAGATAAATTTTGTCGGCTTAGGGATCCAATACTTCCAGTTAAGAAAAATAATAGTTTACCAAATAACATGTTATGACTGAGATCAATTACATAGGTCAATCAAACTAGTAGATCAGCGTCAACTAGATTATTGGAACATAAAAATTTAGCTAGACCTAGAATAATTAACCCTGCTAAGTTAAATAACTTAGAAAAAAGCTCAGCCATTGCACTGCACTTACTTGCATGTAATCACAAAATAGGGTGGGAGAGGGTGAGAGTTTTTAAAATTAACATGGTTAGGTGGGGAGAGAGAGGTTAATCACTAAAAGCTCTGTTTATCGATTCAACACTGCACACATGCAATCGGAATGACGCCATGCCTATACCGTAGATATTGAAAGTGGCAACAGACAACAAAGGAAAGTTGGAGAGACAGAATAGAGAGAAAAAAATATATATCAGACAGACGGTGAAACCTTGTGACTAAAGTTAATGTGGTTATGATCAATAATTTATGTTCGAAACGTCATCCAGTTGTTAATACTGCATCACTGTATGATATTTAAAATAAACTTATCTAATATGGCATAACATAGAGGGCACTTCAGTCGAAACTAACTTCCTCCTCTGATCTTTCCTGGTCGTCCTACATCCTGTTAATTTCTAAGGAAATATTTCGTCTAACCTCTACTTTAAAGTTTTTTAACTGTCGCATTTAGCCTATTTTTTCATTGCTGTCCCTTGATCTTTCCTGGGTTACTTAATAAAGACTTTGTCACATTGCAAAGGGCGCTAAAAGCTGTTTGTTGGGCGAGTGACGTGCATCTAAGACAACTCATTGATATATTGTTGACAGACATTTGAACTCATGAAAAAAGTTGGCGAGGGTCATCTCATCGAAGTCTCACTACACTGTTTATCCTCTGGTGTCTTCTAAGGTAGGACTACAAGCAATTGTAAACGATTTTAAATTCACACCACTGAAAGTAACAATAAAATATTAATGATAAGAAGAATAGAAAGAGCTGTTTATTTACTGTATTTTCGTGTCCAACACTTTTTTCACCATTTAAAATAAGTGTCAAATAAAATAAGGTATCATTGAGTTTTTAGTGTCTAGTAATTTATGTATTATTGTCACTATGATTACGTTGTGTTAATGAAAGTTGTGCAATGGTTACTCCTGTTATTATGTAACTTAAAGAGAAAAAAGTTAGATGCAATATTCTACTACATGGTGATAATTTCACGTAGTATCGAAAGTACTGTTTGGAATAAAGTAATTATTGTTTTTGACTGAAGATCACTCAAATTGATGCAGATCCATTCACTCCTTGTTATCTTTCAACTTATGAAAATGTTGGCAAACTTCATTGTAATTACTCTTTCTTCTGCACACTTTCGTCCCTTTTTTCTAGTTTCCTTGCATTTCTCTTCTAACATGTATCTTTTGTCAGTTGAGTTCATTGCCTTTTTTATTTACATATTACGCCCGTCAATTTGGCTCTTAAATTTGTTCAAGCTTCATTGTGCGTCTTTGATGTCCGCATCCATACATGGCCAGTATGCATAACTTCTGGCTATCGACTTCATACGTGCAATACCCGGATGTC